GTCAAAGATTTTGTTCAAAGACTTGGGATGAAGGGTTCAAAGAGTTTCGGAAGTAGAATGGGTCAAAGATTTTGTTCAAAGACTTAGGATGAGGGGTTCAAATAGTTTGGGAAGGGGAACGGGTCAAAGATGTTGTTCAAAGACTTGGGATGAAGGGTTCAAAGAGTTTCGGAAGGAGAACGGGTCAAAGATTTTATTCAAAGACTTGGGATGAGCTCATATGAGTTTGGGAAGGAGAACGGGTCAAAGATCTTGTTCAAACACTTGGGATGAAGGGTTGAAGAGAGTTTGAGAAGGAGAACGGGTCAAAGATTTTGTTTCAAGACTTGGGATGAAGGAAGGAGAACGGGTCAAGATTTTGTTCAAACACTTGGGATTAAGGGTTTAAAGAGGTTGGTTCGGTCTAGGGTTTTTGTTTTAATTCTGATGGCACGTTTTGTAAAAGTGCTTTTTTATCTTTGCAGTTTGCCTTCCTTGCTTGGCTTGTGATCTAGGAGTCTAGGAGTATATATGTTTGAGGCATTCTTGGATTTTTGAAATATTTGTTTATTTTATGTTTCTTTGGGTTGATTTCCGTATAGGTCTTTTTTTCCCACCTTCATTTCTATTTTCCGTTGGATTTGAAGAATTGAAAGGTCTTATTGCTCGTTGACACACTTAGCGCACGAGTGAAAAGGGTGCGAAACGTGTTTTAATCGTTTGGAGGTAATTAATGCATATATAACCGGATTTGATATTTGAATATCTACAATAAAATAATTGATAATGTTGAATTCTAAAATTTTTGTATTATATGATTATGAAATAGAAATTAAAATTATATAAATTATTAAAATATATTATATTGTTATTTTAATATATTGAATTATATAAATAATTTGATGATTATATCTATGTTTTTTTATTTGTTTATGGATAAAATTAAAATATTATTTAATTAATTAATTATATATATTATATAAATTATTAATATAACAATTAATTGAAATTTAAATAATATAAATTTATATTCGATGATTGATTGATATTTTGCTTTTGTTCGTTGTGTCGTTGGTTCATGGATGAGAATATTGCAAAGGTTGCAAGTGGTCGATTGGTTATTTTATATTAACGATTTATCCTGCTAGAGCCCCAGCACCAAAAGCAATGGTAGTCCCGTGAGCTTCGCGCGCACTGGGTGTCTTAGGCGGGATGAATCGGGAAGGAACTCGCAGTTGGTCACTGGGTAAAAAGTCGCATGATTCGTGGAGGCTTGTATGGACCTCTTTCCTGGCAGCGCCTTTGTCGATGCATTTTCATGGCCTGAGCGCCTTCGTTGAAAGTGCTGCAAGCTACACCTAGGATTGAGAGTGTCCACCATGGCCGTCTGTATTCGTCAAAGCGGTGAAGGTGTATAAGTCCCAGGTCGAGTGGGCTTGTTCTTTCTTTTCGGGGTAGCCTTTCCACCACTCTCTGTAGCCAGGCTATATTCTCATCCATGGCGGTTGGGTTTGTTGGCGGCTGTGCTTTTGTTTGTGTTTTGCCTTGTTTATTTTTGTTGTGATGTGGTGTGCTTGTGTGTGTGTTTGTTTGGCTGTTGCTGCTGCTGTTGTTGCTGTTCTTTCTTCTGTTGTTGTCGTGGTGGTGGCGGTGGTCTTGGTGGTGGTCCTGGTGGTGGTCTTGGCGGTGGTTGCGGTGGTGGTTGTGGTGGTGGTCCTGGTGGTGGTCTTGGCGGCGGTCGTGGTCGTGTTCGGTGGTCGTGGTCGTGGTCCTGGTGGTGGTCTTGGTGGTTTTGGTGGTCTTGGTGGTTTTGGTGGTCGTGGTGGTGGCGGTGGTCTTGGTGGTTTTGATGGTCTTGGTGGTCTTGGTGGTCTTGGTGGTTTTGGTGGTCTTGGTGGTCTTGGTGGTTTTGGTGGTCTTGGTGGCTTTGGTGGTCTTGGTGGTTTTGGTTTTGGTTGTGGTGGTGGTGGTTTTGTTTGGTGGTGGTTTGTTTGGTGGTTTGGGGGTGGTTTTGGTGGTGATGGTGTTGTGGTGGTGGTGGTGGTTGATGATGATGTTTGTGGTGGTGGTTGATGATATTTGTGGTAATGGTTGTTTTGGAGGTGATGATATTTGTGGGGGACGAGGCTTTTGGTGGAGATGATGGATTCGGTGGCTTTCATGATGGTCAAATTTCGGTATTTTTTATTGAAATTGATATCTTTAATTAGAGGTTCATTGAGATATGCATTTGGTGGGAGATTTTTTTTGGATATTTATTGGTAGATGTGTTTGGATTTTGATGGTAAATGCATTTGGTTAGGGTTTTGTTGTTGGATGCATTTGGTTAGGGTTTTGTTGGTGGATGCATTTGGTTAGGG